GGTTCCCGTATGACGGACCTGACCTCCAGCATCCCGAAGCCGCTGCTCCCGGTGGGCAACCGGCCCCTGCTCTGGTACCCGCTGAACCTCTTGGAGCGTGCCGGCTTTGAAGGTGAGGCACGGCGGTGTCTTGGTGTGGCAGTGGAGACGGCATGCTTACCCTGGTCTTGGCTTTAGACTCCCCATGGTCATCTCCACTACTCACGTTTGTTGCCTCCTCTTGTTCTAATGCCTTGTTGCAGGTGACCTGTTGATCGAGGCAGGTGCCGTAGCAGGAGATCTTTTCTCTGCGCTGGAGCTGTGCTGTTGGCCCATGTCACATCCCTTTCTTCACTCTAGGCTGTGCCTCCTGTGCCAGCGCCCGCTTCCCCCTCTTCTCCCCTCACCAAGGCTTTTCCTATCTATAGCCTTTTCCCAACTTTGATGTCTGTCCCAGTGTTGTTAACTGGGAGTCTCTCACTCGTTTCTTTCTCTGAATCACTAATGAGAGTAGTGTGAGAAGTGTGTCAGCTCTCCTGGGATATCTCTTGATTTGTTGTGGTTTGTTGTTTTAGTCTGGCCTGAAGTTCAGGGTTACTCGCTCTGTCTGAGACATCTATTGCACCGTGAAGCCAAGTGCTGGGTTTTGGATGGAACAGGGCAGGGGAAAGTGGCAGACTTCATTTTGGAAAATATGCCTTCATGCCACTGTTGATATCCTCCAAATATGCATTTACTTTTTTTCTTTTGTAGATGGAATGGATTTGTTGCTCACATATTACTCCACTCGCTTGCCAAGCTGGTGATGAGAAATAGTTTAAACACTGTAGTGTAATACTGCGGTTAGTGATGTCCACAGAGGATTGTCAGGATCAGGGTGGGCAAAAGACAAAGTTCTAAAGTGTTGGTGACATCAATGTAGGGTCCCGTCAGTCTGTTTGAGGACATATGGTTTGGCGTTGCTCACTAATGATAGACGACATTTCTGTTCTGTCTTGCTGTCTCATGTGTCCCTTTCAGTAACAACCTCCACCTACACAAAGCAGAAGAGATTATTTTCATATTCATTAGCACTTCAGTTCTCTTCTTCAAAAGTTACTGTTGCCAAGAGAGCTTGGTTTGTTGTAGAACCCAGTTATGTTACTCAAGCCTGTTGACAGTTCCATCAGCCTCTGTAAATAAGAAATGAGTGTATCCTATTTGTGATAATTTTTTTTTTCTGCTTGATCTCATCCTACTTTCCTCTGTCCTAGAGGTCATTGTGATTACAAGGAAGGAAATCCAAAAGATGTTAAACTTGGACACGAAAATGAAGCTGGATTTTGTGTGCATCAGTGACAACATGGACATGGGTACAGCAGATTCACTGAGGCATGTTCACCAGAAAATTAAGGTATTACTGTCTTTTATTGAACTTGACTGGAAAACGTTTGTTTATAATATGGTATTTTTCATTGTGTTGTAAGAGCTGTTCCATGTCATGATATTGCGGGTATCTGAATTTCCTGATCTTCAGAAGAGCTGAATTTTGTAAAGGTCACCTCATGGGGGAACTCGAACAAAGACTCTAAATGACTAGAATTGACAGCTAGGAAGGCTGGAGCAGATCCAGGCTGGGCACTGGCTGCTTCTTAGTCCGTGATAGCTTTCTGGCAGATTAATTAAAAAGTTGTATTTGTTCATACAGTTTTTGATATGATGTGTCATACTGTTGTCCGTGTAGTGCTTGGGGAGGTAGTTCTGCAGAAACATTCATTGCTGTCTTAGCTTAGGCAATACGCTGACACGTAAGGGAGTTCACGCTCAGTTCTTGGCCCAGCTGCAGGCTTGCCTGCGCTATTAGGCACGTGACTTGCTCTGTGCTTCTGTCTTCTGCTTTTCCTGTGCTTTTGCTGGCTTGGTCATATGATAAGCTCTTTGATGAACAGTGCCTACATGTGATAATGTTCTAATAAAAATGCCAGTTTATAGAATTTTTATTTCCGGTTGCACAATTAAAACACTCGCATGTAATAGGAATGCTGCTCAGAGCTCTTACCGTGATGTGGGATGGAATTTTAGTTTCGTTGTTGTCATAGACTTAATCTTTCCTATTTGTTCCCTGTCTGTTTAGGCCATCTCGGCCAAATTGGCTGTTTAAATAAGGGTTGCAACAGAACGTCAATGAACCGTTTAAGTCCTGAGGTGTCTTTTTGTCTTCAGGTTCTATTTGAAGGTAATAAACTGCCATATAACAGGCTGTGTACTTCCAAGAGGACGACTCCAGTTGAGACAAGATGAAACTTCCCAGGCAAATATGGGTGTCCAGGTGGCACAATGAGAGAGATTCTGTAAGGAATTAATGCACAGACTAGAACAATTTAGAGGGCAAAGAGAAGATCTAAAAAGAAAAATCAAAATCAGCAAAATCAGTTTAACTTAAATCAAACGTTTCTGTCATGTGGAGAATCACCCTCTGTCATAACTCAGTTTGTGAGTGTCTTTTAAATATATGCATGCAGTAGGGAAATACCTCTGCACTGCAAATTGTGACCCTGACCTTACAGTTTTATTGCCTGTTCAGAGAAATCAGTCCTTGCTGTCTGAGTGTCCTCTTTTTGGTAATCCAGGCAAGTCTGTGTTGGAGGAGGCCTGGGAGACAACAGCAAAGCGTGTAGGAGTAAGAAAATAGATTGTGTCTTCAGAAGCAGCAGTGTTGATCTGATCTTCTGTTTATTTTTCAGAAAAAAAAGTCTTAGAGAAGATGTGGGGTAGTGTTGAAAAACGCAACTTTTCTTCAGTTAGCTGCTGCATATGAATGGCAGCAGCAGCTGCTTCTGCCCTTTTTATTCCATGTCTTGCTTGTCTGGCCAGAGAGGACAAAGTGCTCTCTTATTTGAAATAAGCTTATAGTAAGTTCTTGAGCAGTTTGCTGCACTGTGTATTTTGGAGTCATTTCTCTAGTAAATGCATACCACTGGTACACCTCTCACAGGGTATACCCTCTCCTGTGTGACATACACAGTAGAGGTAGTTGAAAACCTGCTGTATGTTGGCTATGTCTGCGGTGTAGCAGGAGAGAGATCTGAAGAATGAGTTTCTCTGGTGAAAAAAAAGCTGCTTGTGGCCATAGTTTGCTGTCTGGCTTTTTGCAACCCATGCCAAAAGTCTGATGAGAAGTTTAAACTGGTTGTGGAAACTTAGTTGTCGCAAATTGAGTTAATTGCCCAGACAGAAGAGCAAGTATGCTCAATAAAAATGAGGTAACGTGGCACAGTATAGACAACTGTCTTGTGCGCAATGCAAGCGACAGGGAGTAAAGCAAAGATTGTTAATGCACGGTAAGAAATACTTCTAAGGGTAGCTGAACTGCTGGTCACAAATTCTGAGATGTGCATAAATATTGGACCACTCTAAAGCATAAAATCTCATGACTTGCTGCCTTGTCTAGCATTTGACTGAGAGAGTTCTGCCAGCGCAGCACTGCTGCTTGCTGTGCCTGCAGTTTCATGGCCATCATTTTAATGTCCAGTCTTTTTTTTTTTTTTAATATACTTTTAATATCGCTGTCAGTTTTATTCTTTTTGGCCCTTTAAGTTCCTAGTTTTCCGCTCATCTTTTTCAGGGCTGATAAGGAATCTCTTTCAAAGTATGAGAGTGAAGCTGCAAAGGCCTAATTCGTTTCTCATTTTTATATAGGATTGGAAGTGGTAGAACGTAGACTATGTAGACTCACCGTTGACAGTATAATAATGCTCTTGTTAAAACTGCAGCTTTACCACCATAGGGGTGCTCCCAGGTCTCTGTCACCTTGTGATCTGTGCTGGTGTGACAGATCTCTGCCGTGATCTAGCTTAAACAGAGAAACAAGTGAGCCTTCCATGCCTGTAGATTTGAATTGATGACCTTCCCTGGTCATCGAGAGTGAAGAATGCTCCCCTGTTCCAGATGTGGGCTTGACAAGACCATGGTATATAGAGGAATTGAATGTGTTTTGGAAGATGATGGTGTGCTTCTGTAGCTGAGTAAATTCCTTACAGGAACGCGATTTTGTTTTATTTATTTATTTTAAACACCTTCTGACTTCAATTTTCTTTCAATTGCTCACCTATGGAATTATCCTAACATGATTCTGAAGTGATTTACTTAGTGAAAACTTCAGTACTTTTTGAGTTACTGCCTTACCTGCAGCATGGTAGTGAGACAGGTCCAGCAAGACTTACAGGACACAAAAAGAGGCACTACTGTGGATTTCTCAACTGCATGCCTGTCAGCATTTGAAAAGCTGTGCAAAGTAGTGGAAAAATCCTTTCGCTAAATCTCTTGAAGACAACAAAAAGCCAGTAAACCAAGCAACTTTGATGGATTGTAGCAATGAATCAAGCAGTTATGTCCTTAGGTTCCAAATCTGTTAAAGCAATAGTCTCGCTCAATTTATTCAATCCAGTATCTTTATGTCAGACTTTAAAAATATTGGTGTATGTTCATGTCTGGTTTTGAGAATCATTGTCAATAATTACTTTGAAACTTCAGAAGATGGTTTTTATAGATCAAATAACAAAGTCGTCTCTCTCTAAATCTGTAATAGGGGAATACCGCTTCGTCCAAGGCATGTTAGTAAAAGCAGACTGTGAGCTCTCTAGGGCAGAATCTATGCTTTCCTTTGTCTCTGAAGGGCGTGTGTTTTAGTCTTCTTCTTTGGCTGGAGCCATGTTGCTATTAAAGAATTGTATTAAAGAATATTCTTGACCTGTCAGGGAGTGTTTGAAATTAAAAAAAAAAAAAATTAGTTAGCATAGGTTCAAAAAATCATTTTTGTCTAAAATGTAAATCAAATTCTCTCCTTCATGAAATCTCCTTTTCCACATCCATTTTTTTTTTTCCCTGTTACTTTCTGATTCTACTCTCCTAAGATATCTTTCCTACTTCATAAGTCACTTAGGCTGTTACGGGTCACTGTTTCATCCTTTACAGGCGTGGGAGACACATAGCCTTTGTATGCCTTGCTAAGGAACCTGTAGAATTTATAAGGGGGAAGAAATAATTTGCTTTCTTAAGAGTTAGATTCTCTAAAGGGTAAACTTTCATAAGGGACAAATGAGGAAACAGTTTGGATGTAAGGATGGCTTAATCTGCCCCTGAGCATGAACAGCTAAATACCTTTTCTACAGATGATGAGAAAACCCTAAACTTTCTCTAGATTTGTCTTTAATTTTCCTGACACGTGGTGCTTCAAGATTAAGATTTTTTTAAATGAGATCAGTGTTTGGCGTTTTTAGTAAAACAGTATTTTCAGCATGCTGCTGTAAACTAAGGATGATGTTACAGGTGTGCCAGAGCAGGTGCTAAGGTGTAATTTGATAACTTCCATGTTCCTGTTTTTATTTATTTTTATTTAGCATCCTGAGCTTGCTAACTGCCCGGAGCAGTGTGTGAGGGGATCTCTGTAAAAGGTGTGTTTTTTTCTTTTTTTAAAATAAAAAGAAACTGCTTTCTCCTCAGTAACTGTCAGTAGTCATTGTTTCTGTTTTTCATTGGTAAGCAGCACTGGCTGGAGCATTCAGATGAGTTTAATATGAATAATAGGGAAATTAGTAAGAGTCTTGACAGTTTCAGTGGCAATATCTGATATGCTTCTAGAAAGTGAAGAGATGCAAGTGCTGTCTGCTGTGTGCTGTGGTTGGAGATGATGCAGTTTTGTTTTGTAGGCAGCTTGTCTTTCAGTGGAGTTTTTTTTTGTTGTTTGGGGTTTTTTCATAATTGTGGGCAGTAGACTGCCTTTTTAAAAGTCAACTTGTTTTGATGTCTCTTGAAATTTTGTGATGAAATCCCCTGACCCACTTAAGGAAGCTTTCCCTCTGTAGCTGGTGTTAGTGGACATACTTTTTTCAGGTCATAATGTGAAGACTTCTGGTAAGTCCACCAGGGCTTTCGAGTGCAATTATTCCCTCCAGTATGTTGCTCTGTGATTTCTTCAGTCCAGATCTATGTCTTTATTTATTTGACTTCTGCTACCATTTTTAAAGGCCTTCTCTTACAGTTTAGTAGACCTCCTTTGGATGATTCACCAGACCACTATGCAAAGTACATGTGCCATGACCTGACATGTTATAGTTCAGTAATAGCATCAAAACTTTGGTAACACAGAACTCATGATTTTGGGGATTAGTAACAATAAATCGTAATAGGAGCTAGGAGCCCAAGAGTAAATTTTAATGTCTCAGAATGTAGTAGTTGAAATAGGGTGATGGTGAGCAGCCAGTCTGATGGAGGAAAGAAAGGTAAATACAAGACTAGAATATATCAGGCCAAGTATTTTTTATGATAGAGATGAAAAATTAATACTGTTGCTTAAGGCGGTGGGAAAATTTTTTATCTGGAATACTGCACAAGTGTGGAACACAAATGCATCAA